CTCAACAGCAGGTGCCAAGTTTACAGTACAGGGAATTTGTCATCTGCATTTCTCATCACCTTTCCTCTTCCTTTCAGTGTCTGTCTGTGTGTTTATCTGTCTTTATCTCTTTTCTCACTGTGTCTCGCTCATTATACCCTGGAGGAGTGATTCCAGCGAATGCAGTATTAGATTAAATGAGCAGGCATGTAAATGCTTGTTTCTCAGGTGCATTTCTACAAAGCTGTAGTCACCATTAAGTCTTGCTGGTGTTAATCTGGATTCTTTTTTACTCACTGAATTGGATATTTATGGCACAGACATTCCTAGAGCTGATTTTAAATCAGGTGATATACAGTATCTCACAGAAGTGTGTACACCCCTCACATTTTTGTAAATATTTTATTATATCTTTTCATGTGACAACACTAAAGAAATGACACTTTGCTACAATGTAAAATAGTGAGTGTACAGCTTGTATAACAGTGTAAATTTGCTGTCCCCTCAAAATAACTCAATACACAGCCATTAATGTCTAAACCACTGGCCACAAAAGTGAGTTCACCCCTAAATTGTCACATGAAAAGATATAAAATATTTACAAAAATATGAGGGGTGTACTCACTTCTGTGAGATACTGTATGTTTGGCTCAGTTTTTAGTCTTGGAATAAGAGATTTCCATATGGCTCCCAAATGAGTTCAGCACCAGAACAAAAGAAAATGAAGACAGGAATCGGTGCATTTTATTTTATTTTATTTATTTTATTTGGCTCCAGATTGCCTGCCTTTTTTGGTCATTTTTGTGGCTGCTTAACCCTAATACAGTGCGACTTTTGTTTTTCTCTCTTTTTACACAAAATAACATTTATTTAAAGGAATTATTTCTAGAATTTACTTAAAATTTTAATTTAGAAATTTAACAATAATAATAAATTTAGACATTTTAAATAATAATAATATTTTGTATTTATTAATTTATATTACGCTCAGGGCGTTTTTTGGTATTTTCGCCTAAATTTGACATATAGGCGGAAATTCGTGTGTGGGACGAATACATTTCTAAGCTTAATTTTACTGCTTTATGAATATAAAAACCAAAAGGTATGGTATTCTTTGTAAAGAAGATACTCCAAGCTTTCAAATGAACCCATATATGGGCTGATACCATATAAGGAAGGCTATGTAAATGAAGCATAAACATTTTTAACGCGATTTTGGAAAAATTTTCCTCACACAAAATCTGTTGTATAGTTCAAAGACTAAAATTCTATAAATAATATGGACTGCTTTTATGGAACTTCTATGATTTTTTTAAAGAAAGTCCTATTTGCAGGTTGAGGATGAGTAAATTATGACAGAATTTTTATTTTTGGGAATATTGTAGTGTTTCTGAGATGACGAAGATCATAGCTTTTACTTAAAATTAAAATTTTGTCATCATTTACTCACCCTCATGTGGTTCCAAACCTGTATAAGTTTCTTTCTTATGTTGTATGTACAAAAGAAGATATTCTGAAGAACCAAACAGTTGTTGGTCACCATTGACTTCCATAGTAGGGAAAGAAATACCATGAAAATCAATGAGGACCATCAACTGTTTGATTACCAGCATTCTTCAAAATATCTTCTTTTATGTTCAACATAAGAAAGAAACTCAAACAGGTTTGGAACGACATGAGGGTGAGTAAATGCTGACAACATTTTCAGCATTGAACTCTCCCTTTAAAAGACAATTTACTTTATTTTTTTATTGAAAATCATCTCAGATTATTATGCTGGATTGATACTAATACACAAATAAACACTGTTCTTTTTGGATCGGTCTCTATTTTGTTGCCGGTACATTTTATAGCCATAAAGCTGAGGATTTTCTCACTATATCAAACTCGGATACAAGTCAAGCTTTTGGTCGGTCATTCTATATGGCCTCTGACCTTGCTTACTTGAACCTGTTCATACAGAAGTGTGCAGCTGAATACAAAAGCTCCTTCAGTACACCTCCTCCTCCACTGGTGTTTATACAGAAAGAAGCCCAGTGGCCATAGAGCCCATGTGCGGAGGCTGATTCTTGAGAGGATGTGGAGTCCCTGCTGTTTGGCTTTTGTGAGAAAAGAAGCGCTCGCTCTACAGAAGCAGTGGTGCGTGTCATAGGCCCGAATGTACGAATCACGCAGCCCCCAGCTGTATTGTGAGAAAACAATGGCCAAAAGCACTCTCGCCCTGAAACTCTTTGTATAAGCAGCGTTTTTAAGGTACTTCTTACTGAATGTGTAGTTTGCCCAAGGAGGAGTCCTGTCAGGACGGCTCATTTACAGATTGACTGCTGTGAAATTTCATGTGAAGGAGTTGTAAATCATGTATTAAAGGGATAGTTCACGCAAAAATGAAAATTCAGGCTTCATTTACTCACCCTTTTGTTGCAAAAAATCATAGAGTGATGAGGGGCTTTAAGGGAGCATTATTGTGTAGAATTAACTTTAATGTATTTTTTTAATGTACTTTGATAAGGTAATATGGAAGTGCGTGGAAAGAGTGGACTAAGTGTTCCCTTAGATGCCTGCTTTGTTGTAAATTAGTCCCCCTGGTGGGCAAATATGGCAAAGGCTGGTTCTGAAGACTGTTGAGTACTTTTGATTTACGTTTGCAAGCATGTTTCAGAACAAGAACTATTTCCAAACAAACATTTTATTTTATTTTATTTTTAACATATTTTTTAGTTTATTATATTTTTTATATATGTATAGTTTTTTTGATACCTTTTTTTTCAACAACAACAGAAGCTTCTTGACAAAAACAGGCTAGGAATTATGCAGATATAAATGTTTTGCTTGATTGATTGGTTTGTACTAATTCCTCTTTTTTGACATTTTTGCAATTTTGTCAACTTCTAAATATTATCATGATTAAAAATCAGCTTAATTTGCAGCAGTTTTATATTAGTGACAATGAGATACTATTAGTTTGTATTAATATTTTAAATAGTTTTTATTTAATATTAATTTTAGTTAACATTTTAGCAATTTAGTTGTGTGTTTTGGTCATTTTTATTATTATTATTATTTATTTATTTTTTTTGTCTGTATAGATTTTATTACATTTATTTCAGTTAGACAAAATGAAAATTATAAAAATTATAAAAGTTTTTAAAAAATATTTTATTTCAGTTAAACTTTATTTTATTTCAAGTAACAAAATATTTTATATGGATTTAGTTAACTATAATAGCCCTGATTTAGAGTAAAATGTAGAATACATCAAAGTTTTAAGTTTGCAAGGCATAAAAATGGATGTACAAGACTGATGAATTAGATTTTCAGTGGGAACAAACATTATGCTGATACCCAACTCAGCTGTCCCGTTAGAATACAGTTGTTAAAGAGAGAATTAGAGAGAAACTGACTTTTCAATACAGTATTGTGCATTAGGGCCGCCGTTTCCAGGGCCATCTGCCACCGACATTAATACGCTTGAGAGGAAGGCCGAGAGCTGATAGCATTTGTGTGCTGACTGCCTCTGCAGTGGCCCTGTGAGAGCGCCAGGGCACCTTCCCATGGGCATCATGCCACCGAATCACTGCTAATGTTTGCACAGCTCACATGTGTGCCCAGCTTCCTGGAAGTCACCGTCCAAGGTACTTTATTTATTACCTGCTGTTGCATAATGCCACGTAGAAAATCTCGGTCAATGGCGCATTCATTTGCCATCACAGATCTGTATTTCTTTTCTATTGAGCCAGCAAACATTTTTTCGCCTTTGTTTAACAGCTCTCATCCACATAAAAGAGGGAACATCCCCAGGCACAAAAGCCTCACTGGCTTCCTTCCTGATGTGGCTGCACTGTGAATGCACTTTGCTTTTGTGTCCTGCTGTTGTTTCTGATGCCTGGATGGATGGCTTGACATGAACCGCCCACAATGGGGCGAGATCATTAGCAATTCAGTTTGCTAGCCCATCCACCCTAATTGGTGGAGAGCCGCACATCTCTGTCAATTCTCATTGTGCACTCGGTTAGCTGGGATGGCCTCTGTCACAGGGCATCGCTTCACCTTGTTATGGCAGTGTGTTCCCTCAGGGTGGAGAGGCGGGTGAAGGGGGCACCCAGCCAGCCCAGATGTTCCTTTCGGCTTCACAGCCGCATCTCGTTGTCACCTAATTGAGTTCCGTGACTATGGCATACATAGGGGGACTGGTTGCCTAGGCAACAATGCTCCCGCCTAATGGCCAGATCAGTGTGCTGGATTCTGAATGGATGGATATTTTATCCTTTTTTTTTGTGTTCGCCATCTGCTACCAGTCCAGGTTCGTTTTCCAGATGGAACTATATGTTGCCCCATACTTGGACTGAGAGAAGGGCAGCGGCCATTAGGTCTGTCTGACTGCAGCGCCAAAATTGTGGTTAACCCTGGTTAACCCTCATTAAAAGAGGATGCTGCACTGATGCACATAACGGGGATGCATGAAAGTTTTTTGGATGCGGAGTGTGACCTCCATGAAAAAGGCCTATGTAATAAAGAGAATAATACATATTTATTACATTTTATAATAAATATTTGTAAAAGGGTTAGTTCACCCAAAAATGAAAATTCTGTCATTAAGATCGACAAAGTAGTCCGTGTGACATCAGTGGTTCAACTGTAAAGTTACGAAGCTACGAGAATACTTTTTTGTGCAAAGAAAACAAAAATAACGACTTTATTCCACATTTTCGAGCCGTCATATTTCAAAAGATTTTCTAAAAGCCAGCCTAACAGATTTAAACCGATTATTTCAGACAGCTTTTGTCTGTTTGAGACTATTTGAAACTATAGGGAAATTTCATCTTTGCAGCATCAACAACTGAAATTTAAACATTTTAAGCAGATTTCTAAATGCTTAAACATGGTGTGGTGCTTTTGAATGGATTTTGTATGTCTGCTATTATACATGATGAATGAAGGATTGTTTACATTGTGTATTTTTGCTCCCATATGCTTTCAGGTAGCGTTTGCATTAATGCACATTATCTGTGTTCTCTCCTCAGTCCCTCAGGGAGTGATTCAGAACGGAGCTCGAATGATGAGCCAGGGCCTCTTCCCAGGAATCCGACCCCTTCCCATCAACCCCATTGTCAGCAGGACAGCCGCTGTCAGGTCAGTCCTGTCCCTCTGGTCACTTTCAGCCCATTTCCCGACTCATTACATGATTGACAGGTTTATCAGCCAATCAGAATCATGCTTACACTGCAGTGCTTTGGCTCATATCTTACCTCTCCCTTTGACTCTCTTAAGTCTGGCTGCTCTGTTCCTCACATTTCATTAGATCAGAGCAGCCAGGTCATTGCAGACATCAGCGCAAAGTCCTATCCGGGCTAAGGCCCCACTCTTGCATGCATGATGTGACATGAATAATTAAGCACAAACACTAAGTTTTTTTAATGGCATGACCAAACACACAGACTGACTGTCTTGCCGTGAAACATTCATAAGCTGGGCCTCAGAAAGAGGCCGCCCCTCAGGTACTGCATGCTAGTGTCAATGCACTGCAAAATCTACACGAAATGTCCCCTCAGCTGAAGGTAAATGGGCTCAGGCTCTGGCCCGGTCACAGAATCAAGCATTCCAAGCTCTGCTGCAGCTCAATTAAAGATGTGTTATGTACTAAAAGGATAGAATTAGAACATAGTGCTCAGAAAGGTGGAAAAACAAAAGAATCACCAGTTAAAAGAGAGGGGTGTGCAATATGTATCAATGTCACTTTTTACCCCATTGTGACATTCGTCTGTATTTTAAAAATGTCTGTGTCCAAAATGTCCGAGTCCGAGTCAAAGTACCCCAACTCTAGTGTTCAATGGATTGCTTAACATCATACCAATTGTTCAGCTGATGAAACGTCTTTCTGAATTTTTTTTTTAAACAAAATTCAAAACCTCCATAAAACAGTTTTAAAAGTTGTGAAAAGACTTCTTTAGAATCATTTAATCATCATAAATGAAAGGGAATAAAACAGTTTTTTTTGCATATATGTAATGAGAGTTGCATAAAATATTTAGGATTTGTAGAACAATTCATATTTTTGGCACTGGACATAATTTTAATGACAATTAAGCACATTTCCCCCTACTTTCCTTTCCTCATTGTGGTGGCCAATTTACTTAAAAACAATCTGTAGCTTGTATTGTGTGTGTGTATATATATATAAAATATCTAAAATAACAAATAACATTTATTGCAACACAACCATGAAAATTACTTATGAAGATAATGTCCTGATGATGCTAAAATACTTTTTCTTATTTATTCCTTTTGAATTTGTAGTGAAATATGACTCAGACATGTTTGTTTCCTCTAAGATGTATTATTTTGTTAGCATAAAACAAAAGCCTAGACCTGATAAATATCTCTGATTACTACCTCTGTGATGAAAAGAGCATTCAGGAACAGAGCTCAGGCTCTCAGTTGCTGTATGATGCACATATCGTGCAGTGACAGGCTGCATACAGTCCAAAGAGTAAAACAGCCTCTTTGCCTCTTTAAAATGATTGACACTGCATTTAGGCATTAATTATTGAAGCAGTTTCTTTAGCCTGCTGTGCTGTGGCTATAATTTATGAGTCGTAAATGCACATATGAGACAGGAAGTGGAAAAGCTCTTAGGATTATTTTTCGAACCACAGAGGGAGTTTTAACATTTCTGCAAAGCGCGGCAGGATGTTCTTTGTCACTCAGAGCTGCTGCTATATAAACTGTGACCAGAAGCACAAAACAAGCATCACTTAAAAGACACTTCATTACTGTTTCTGAGGGTAAGAGGCATAAATAGAGCTCAACTGTCTTTATTTGCCATTTTTCATCATATTATTTTAGCCAAAAGTGGAGAGTTTTGTAATCCACCAATTAATTTGCTTTTTAATGATGTTGTTGGCCAACTGAAGAGGTGCTTCAAAGCTCAAGTGTGTTTCAGAGACAAATGATTAATTGTTTTTAACATTTAAGGATGAGGCGCTTGAAGGCTGCAGTGCTTACCAGCACATAGCACAAATTTAAGAAAAAAGAGGTGGTTTTAAAAAAGAAATTAAGCAGCACAACTGTTTTTCATATTGATAATGATAAGAAATGTTTCTTGAGCACTAAATTGGCATATTAAACTGATTTCTGAAGGATCATGTGAGGCTGAAGATTGGAGGAATGATGCTGAAATTCAGCTTTGCATCACAGGAATAAATTACATTTTCATACATATATTCAAATAGAAAGCGATTATTTTAAATTGCAATAATATTTCACAATATTACTGTATTTTTGATCAAATAAATGAAGCATTGGTGAGACTTTTTCAAAAACATTTTGAAAGGTCGTGTATGTATATATATTATTGTTCTTTTTTTCTTTTCTTTTGATTTTAGGTGAAATATTACCTAGGCATATTGTTGACAGATTTTGTGTTTTAGATTTACTCACTTTATATAATAACAAATGGGGTGAATTTATTCATGTGTTCCAGAGGTTGTTGCCATCTGTGCAAAAAACTGCGAAACATCAGTACAGAGTGTCCATGTTAGACATATTATTATAATGAATTGCTATAGTAGTATAATTACAAGCAGCTCCACAAAATAATTACACACTAAGCGCATGTAGTTCATTTGTTTTACTCAGCACTTACACAGTACAACAGGAACAGCATGTGTGCACTTGCACTAATGCATCTCTCGTCTGTGTTAATAGGTCAGTACTCGGATACAGAATAACCAGTGACGGCGAGCCAACCCGTAACTCTCCACTGGTCAGCAGCGACCCCAAGGATGACCACACCTACAGTTTTGCCAAATCTTCCAGCTCAGATGTCGAAGAAGAGGCCCACTGCGATGGAAGCGAGGTGAGCTTCCACGCCAACGAGGCCGGCAGCGATGCCGAGGAGGACGACAAGAGCAAAATCAAGAAGGAGCCCAAGGAATGGTCCGTGGACGCCCTCGCTCTGGCCCAGCACAAGAAATGGCAACATTTGACGAAAGTCAAACAGAGAGTGGCCAGTGACACTCTTCCTCTAAAAAAGAGGCGCACGGAGAAGCCTCCGGAAAGTGACGACGAGGAGATGAAGGAGGCGGCCGGATCCTTGCTTCATTTGGCGGGAGTCAGGGCCTGTTTGAACAATATCACCAACCGGACGGCAAAGGGGCAGAAAGAGCAAAAATAATGAACTGACTGTATTATAAAGAGAAAAAAAAACATCACTTTGAATAGAATTTACTATTTTTTTCCAGGACATCAGGTGAATTCTACTGATTTGTGGCAATATCAACAATCACTTTGTTTTCCTATCTTTATAGGTAACATTTTACTGAGGGTTCCTTGTTTTAGTTCACTTTTATTTCATTTTATTTTGATTTCTTTTTTAATCTACGGAGATTGAAGCCATAGCCTTCCCTTTTTTAAGATATTCAGTAAAGCATTTAATTCAACTGAGAAAAAAGTGATAGTAAAAATTGTCCTGCCCCATTGTCATAGTTAAAAGGACAGTTCACCCCAAAATGAAAATTCTGTCATCATTTACCCACCCTCATTTCAAATCCATAAGACTTTCGTTCGTCTTTGGAACACAGTTTTGTTTTACACAAATGAAAGTCAATCAAATCTGAAAGATTTCTGTCCTTCCACTGAAAGTCTATTCAACCAAAACTCTGACATTTTAAAACATTCATAAAGAGACGTTCAAAAGAAAAAAAATCCACATAAATTAAGTGGTTTATTCCACGTCTTGCTTTATATGATGAACAGATTTAATTTAGCCTTTTATTCACATACACATTAAGTAAACAGTGTTTATAACCAACCAACCAATGAGGTTCTTGATTGTGTTTCTTTGGGAGACTTGGATTAAACCACTTGATTTTTGTCTTTATGAACGTTTTGAAACATGAGAGTTTTGGCTGAATTTAAAATACTTTCAATTGGACAGAAATCACTCACATTTCATTAAAAATATCTTCATTTGTGTTCCAAAGATGAGTCTTTGGGTTTGGAACCACATAAGGGTGAATAAATGATGACAGAATTGTAATTTTGGGGAGAACTAATCCTTTAAAAACATGACAACAAATTGTGTTCTGCAGCACGTTCTGCAGTCAGAGTAGTTCTCGAGTTAGTGATAATTATGGGTTATAGTAATCTCTGCTGTAATATAAGATGTTTTAGAAGCACAGGGCAGGGCCAAAGACAATTCTCAAGCAGTTTCTCTGATGTCACTTCCCCTTGATGCTCTGGTTGGTAAAGCATCGTGTGGAAAACACTCATAGTTGTCGTTTGGCTCGTATGAATCATAGTTCACTGGGATGAGAGTAAAGCCATAAGCTTTTGTCATAGTGCTTTTTGGAGTCAAAAGTGATACATTTACCAATAAGTCTCTTAAAACTGCCCACGTTTTTTTCCTAAGCAATCAAATTGAGTGATATTTTCCATCTAAACAGATAGTGGATGGTGACACTCTTTCTTTGGCACAATGAAAAAGAAAACTAGGAGCTAAAGCTACAATACCTGCCAATTGTATTTTAATAGCAGAAACTAATGACTGTGGAGTTGTTTTGTGTTTGTTCATTTGTTTACTTTTTTCAATTTTTTTTTATTTGAAGCCCTCCTGATGTAATAAGCAATTTCATCCAGTCAGGATAAACACTGTATAAAAGTAACACTAGACCATTTTCCTTTCTTAATTTAAGCAATGTAGCCAGCAGGATTTTCCAAATCGTGTTGCATGGGTTCTGTAAAGATAAAATAAGACCGTTTTTAAAAAAAATCAAAGTTCATGTAAGGTAAATAATGTATTTAGCATGGAGCATGAATTATTTTCATATATAAATATGCCAATTGGCCTAGTCTCTTTCGTTGTTTTTGTCGGATTTGATTTCCATTTGTCGTCCTCATCGCCTTTGTGTTGAAGCAGGCATCTTTAACAATTACCTTCTTCAGGGACAAACACTGACTGTTGGGAAACTCTCTCTGCAATACGAGGACTGGGGCTCGGGCCGTCTCGGTCCGCACTAGCGGCCGCCCCGAATACCCACGAATACCCGCTACGTCAATGTCAATGTCGTCAAGGAGAAGTTCGTAGTGAGTGTCGGTCCCCTTCCGGCTTCGTGCCTGCTTTACTTCCATATGTAATCCAGATGTGCATGTCTGTGATTTATTCAGGGTCTTCCATTTTGTTCCACGAGACTTTGGATCTGCAGTTTATTTTTTCCTTTTAATTTTATTCCTGTATTTACATGTAGCACTGTTCAGGAGTCATCAGTATTGATTCAGTTGTTCTCGGTACAGGGAGTCAGACGGTTATTTACACCTCCACGCATATATATTTAAGCACTTATAGACAATAAAAACAAGTGATACCAGAGCTCAGTGCAAACGTTTGTGTATATATTTTCACGACCTCAACGAATTGCACTTTTATCGTTTTAACGTATAGTAAAGAACTTAACGATTCAGTGCCAAAGCCTGTAATAACTCTACACCAGAGATGGGCACGCGAGTTAGTGACTCGAACTTGAGTCGCATTTTTAATAGACTTCAGACTTGACTTCAGACTCGACCTGAAATGACTCCAGACTTGACTCGACTCGAGTAAAAGGACTCGTGAAAATTTTAAAAGCAACTCGAGTCTTTTATTCTTAAAGGTGACGACATATCATGAAAATCTGACTTTTCCATGTTTTAAGTGCTATAATCAGGTCCCCGGTGCATCTACCAACCAAGGAAACGTGAAAAAGATTAACCCAGTAACTTTGTTTTGGTAAGCCTTTTTCTGCAAGCGTCTGAGAAAACGAGCGCGCTTTGACGTGGCAAAGGGATCTCATTATAATATTACCGGCCCTTAATCTGTAAGTTTCCACCCACTGCACCGTCATTTTGATTTCGCAAGCGATAACGGTGTACTAGTTCTAATGCCATGGCGAAAGTTTGCGCAAAACATGCTAACTGTTCTGTCTTTGGCTGCACAGACGAGCACAGAACACTGTTTAGAGTCCCAGCCTCAGAGGAGACAAGAAAGCAGTTGATTTATTTATTTATTTAATGTATATTGCTGCTGCCACACAGATCTAAAATAAACATGCAATTTATTTCCCAGCTGTTTACCTTCACAGACATAACCGACTGTTTCTTGTAACTCGTGTGTTTTAAAGTAAACTTGTGTGTGAATGAGAACTTAGTTTAGTACTCACATGCTGTGACAGCCGCTTTCTGTACGTGTGCTTCAGATGCGTGCACTCAGAAAACCGTATATCAGAAGTTTAAACTCATATTGTTTAAAACACATGATTTCAGCGCGATAAACATGATAA